GCTGCTCCAGTCTGCTGCCCACTCCCCGGTGCTACCTGTCCCTAGCTTCTCCAATGCTTTAAGGTCAACCTACTATTGCTGGGCTTTCCTGAAGTCCCCTTTAAGTAAAAGACAACGGCACACTTTGCTCACAGCACTAGGTACTGCTATGCTTCAGTCTGCTGACCCCTCCTTCTGCCTCTCATTCTTCCAACTGCTACTCTCTCAAATGTGCTCTGCCACATGCTATTGGCACAGTTCCACCCACCCCAGGCTATCTGCTGCTCCAATCTGCTGCCCACTCCCCGGTGCTACCTGTCCCTAGCTTCTCCAATGCTTCTGGCATTTCCTGCTGAAATTCCCACTGTTCAATCAGTATGCCCACTACAGCCATTCCCTAATACCTACCCACTGCTGGCTGTTGTGTGCACTCTTTTCGTTTGCCACAATCACTGGGATGGTGTCAGAAGACACTGACTGTACAGTATTCATATTGACTGTGACAAGAGTTCCAGAAATCCAGAAATTCCAAATTTTTAAAATTCAGATTCTGGCTCTGAAGGGTTGTATTTTGGTTCTAATACACATTCTTACATTCAATTGCTACTGCAGACATAAGAGCCAGAATTCCCTAACCCCACCTCTGTGAAAGTTTGAACACTTTACAAAAGCCTTTTTATGCATGCAATTACACATAGAGGATGAGTGAAAAGATACACATAAAAGATGTATAGCTGAAGCAATATTAGGAATTACAAAACATATTTTCCTGAAGGCTGCACAGCCATGCCCTGCCTTTCTTCCCCAGGCCTGCTGCGGCTAATGCTTATCAGCATTCTGCAGTCCAGGAGATTCTTTATTTCTCTCCAAAGGATCTGACTTGACAGCAGCAGCAGTGGATCTGATGTGTGGTTGAGTGTGAGACAGCTCATGTAGGGAATCTGGGGTTCTTCAGAAGAGATAGAGGGAAGGGCTACAGAAACAGCTGAAGAAAACACTTTATTTCTTCCTGTTCGTTCACATTTTAGAAGCGCAATTTCATTTGTACTAGATTTCTAACCTTTGTTTCCTGAAAGGGAATCAGGCTGGCATAGTTTATTGTTATTGTTTAGTATACTCTGAGTTCATCTTTGTTCATTCAGCTACTGAACCAAAAAGCTGCTCACAACATAGAATTATTAAGCAAATAAACAACAACAAAAAGTGCCCATACCCCAAATCCATACAGAAGACTATATGGTATGATTCTTTATGAATACAAGGAACAGTACTATACATATAGGTCTTCAACTGTTTTTTTAAAAAAATCCTCAGCTACAAAGCAGAATCTGACTTAACTACTGAACTGAACCCTGAGGAAGAGTTTCTCCTAACTTCTCTTCCACACTGGCCAGAACCCTATTGGATAATTAATTAATTCGTTAGTTGATTAATTTAAAATATTTTCAGCCCACCTTTCTCCTAAAAAAGGACCCAAGGCGACATACATAATTAAAAACACATTATTTAAAGCTAAAAACAAATATTAAAGAAAAATAGTAAGAGTTAAATGTTAGGTAAAAGCACCGTGAAAGATGGATTTGGAAGCAAAAGAATTTTGTATAAACCATTCTGTTTACTGCCTCCTAGACAGTCACTCACTAAAAATGTGCCTGAAGAGAAAAGTTCTTTGCCTGCTTGTGGAAAGCTAGCAAAGATGGGGCCAGCTTAGCCTCCTCTGAGGAGGAGTTCCAGAGTCTGGGAGCCATGACAGAGAAGGCCTTCTTCCATATCCCCATCAAGTGCACTGGTGGTAGGACCGAAAGAAAGGCCTCCTAATGATCAACACTCAGGCAGGCTAATAGATGCATGCATTTTTGAGATAGCTTGGACCCAAGCCATTTAGAGCTTTATAGGATAAATACTGTTAACTGATATTGTTAACTAACTGGTGTAAGTGCAAACTGCAGCAGTGCATTGCCCTTAGTTAACAATTTGCCACTTTTGAAAAGGTACTTGTAGGCATGTTAGTCTGTGCAAAAACGAAATAAAAATAAGACAAAAACATTGTGGCATCTTAAAGACTAACTGCTATATTTTAACATGAACTTTTGTGGACAGAATCAGACACTGCATCAGTGCAAGTGCACTTTTAAAGGTCATTGCCAGGTCATCAACTTGTGTACCAATACAGTCTCTGATTTGGAGTCATGTATAAAGATGCAGTATAAATATTTGCCATGTAGTCCCACTCTTATGTCTGAAGAAGCAGACTTCTCCACAAAAGCTCACATTAAAATATAGTAGTAAGTCTTTATGCTGCCACAACATTTTTCTCTTCTTTACTTTTATTTTGTTTTTGCCTGAAGTTTCTTCTTATATCTCTTATCACATACCAGTCATGTGAGTTGGTGCATGTTGAGGGATACAACAAGTGATAACTTGTTAGTGGCAACTCACCACTGCAATCTACAGCACTGCAGCTATGCTGGTGAAACTAACCAACAGGATTCTAGCAACTGCAAACATTCTATTCTGTTCCTCCCACAACACTTGCTAACAGTGAGACTTTAAGAGCCGGATCTGTGCACTGCAACTAGCTGGTCAATCAACCATCTGTTCATTTCCCCTTGACACTAACAAGCTGAAACTCCTCAACATTAGAACACAAAACACAACCAAAATAGCTCTTGTTAACTGCATAGCGTAGATGTTTTTTATCCATTTTAGCCAAAAATTAAATGCATTAGCCTTAATGATGTTAAAACAACATATTAGTTCCAAGCTCTATTTCTGTCTACTATAGATGAGACACCTGTTGGATGGTGAAGGAGACAAATCAATCTCCAGTAGCACAGCATGTCTTTACATTTATTTTTCTGGAGACAATTCTAAGGTTGGATTAGTTATGGAAAGACATTTTCATAAACAATGCCCACATTTTTGTTTGTTTCTACTCTCCTTCCAGATCCAACATGTTGTATGAAGAAGAAGAACAAACATGAATGGGGGTTTGAACTGGTGATGACTTATGCAAAAATGGTTTTCATGGATAATCCGATGCAAATACTTCTAGTTTTTAAAAAATGTGCCAGTACTGCCATTACATAAATGTAGAAATCCACATTAAAGCCACATTTGGAAATTTATGTATAGTTCTCAGCACCAAATCCTTATATCTCTTGTCCTCACAAGTCAAGATGAGGAATTGCAAACACCAACATAAGCAGATAATTGATAACCCTTCTCTGTCTGAAAAATACTGAAGTGTTTGAGTCTCTTTTCTTTCAGGAAAAAAATAACAGAATGGTGGAAGGCAAATGAAAAAGATGCATAAAATTAAGTAGGATATAGCTAGCACAGAAAGAGATCTTTCCCCTCCACATAATATTACACTATGTGGCAATGTAACAGAAGGTGATCTCCGGACTAGATCAGATGGAAAGCTCTTTAATCTCTCTAGATTGAGAGCGAAGACCAAATTCCAGCTGAAATGCATGCCGGACTTCCTCTTCACCGATGATGCAGCTGTTGTTGCCCATTCTGTTGAAGAGCTCCAACAACTTATGAACCATTTTAGTAAAGATTTTGGATTAATAATCAGCCTGAAGAAAACAGAAGTCATGGGCCAGGGCGTAGACTCACCTCCCTCTATTACTATCTCTACACAAGAACTGGAGGTTGTTCATGATTTTGTGTACCTTGGCTCAACGATCTCTGACACACACTCTCTAGATATCGAGCTGGATAAACGCATTGGCAAAGCAGCTACCATGTTCTCTAGACTCACAAAGAGAGTATGGCTTAATAAGAAGTTGACAGCATATACCAAGATACAGGTCTATAGAGCTTGTGTCCTGAGTACATTCCTGTACTGCAGTGAGTCCTGGACCCCTTATGCACAGCACAGGAGGAAGCTGAACAGATTCCATATGCGTTGTCTCCAACACATTTTTGGTATCACCTGGCAGAACAAAGTTCCAAATAGAGTAATCCTAGAACAAGCTGGAATTTTTAGCATGTATACATTACTGAAATACCGATGTCTACGTTGGCTTGGGCATGTCATGAGAATGGCTGACGGTCAGATTCCAAAAGTTCTCCTGTATAGAGAATTAGTGCAGGGAAAATACCCCAGAGGGAGACCACAGCTGCGATACAAGGATATCTGCAAGCGAGATCTGAAGGCCTTAGGAATGGACCTCAACAGATGGGAAACATTGACATCTGAGCATTCAGTCCGGAGGCAGACAGTACAGCATGGCCTCTCCCAATTTGAAGAGACACTTGTTCAGCAGGCTGAGGCAAAGAGGTAGTCCCAAAACAAGCAAAATCAGGGAGTTGGACAGGGGACAGATTGTATTTGTCTTCATTGTGGAAGGGATTGTCACTCTTGAATTGGCCTTCTCAGCCACGCTAGACGCTGTTCCAAGACTTCAATTCAGAGCACATTACTATAGTCTCTCTAGACTGAAGGATGGCTACACACAATACAACAAAACTAATAGGTGGGAAATGCTTTTTTACACAGTGTGTAATTAATTCTTGGTTTTGCTGCCATAAGGTGGTATAAAGGGATTATACAAATTCCTAGACGAGTCTTTTGTGATCCCTATAACAAACTTTACTGGTATCATCTCTTAATAGCCACTGAAAGAGATAAAATGTCACTGATTCATAGCTGTTGGGCAATAACTATCGGTGTTGTTATTACATATATGCCCACTTCTCAAGGCATGTACTGTGGGAAACAGGATGTTAAGGTAGCTGAGCTCTTGGTCTGACACAACAGGGCTCTGCTTATGTTTCTTTTTTCCAGCAACAAGCAGACAGACAGACAGACAGTATATTAGGCCCTCTGTCCTTCAGTAGTATTCATTGAAATTCTTCAGCAATCCAAATGAATTTGGACAATCTCTGAGCAACCCTGAAAACGAAGAGCAATTCTGTTTCACTCCTAACTGTAACACATTCTATAGACATGAAGAAGATGCTAGAACAGACTATTGCGCCAGATGATTATGCACAATTAATTTCAGTACCTGCAGTGAACAAGAACTGGCTCATTTTCTACTCTCTTTGGTCTCATGTAGGTCACAAATTCCAAGAAGGCAGTGGAATCATCAGGGACACCATGGTCAGGCCATGCCACATACTGCAGATGGGTTACAGTGTGTTCTTCCTCAGTCTGAAATGAACAAACATTTTCTCCATCAGTTATCAATGAGACAGCTGTAAAAAGCACCATCAGTTTAAATTAACTTAAATACTTATCAAATCTGAATCGCTTCTCTCCGTTCAAAGTCTGGAGATTACACATTTCAGTGCTACAAGAAACATTGAGGTATATGGTAAAAAAAAAAACCCCAGAGTGTATATGTGATAAATGCTGGAACCTCTGGGTGACTGGAATCAGTTTTCCCTGCCATAGGTTCCCCTATTCTGAACTCACGACTGGAGATTCTTCTGCTTCAAATGTTAACAGTTTTATTCAACACAACCGGTAACTTATCAACAACCACCTCAAATGACATATCATCAATCCCATAATTTGGGGATTCAACTGTCTATCTCCTCGTACTGTTCAGGTTCCACATCTACTGGTGGCGGTCTTTCCTACACTCCTGTCCATACTGGATAGATTGTTTGGTAAGGCACTGAACACAGGCTGCCACAACATGGATGATGGGCTCAGCTCCGCCCAGCCTTGTCATCCTTCTTTTTCCCTGCGTCCTTCCACATTCTCATGTCTCATCTGCTCCGCATTTCCATCTCCAAGAGGGGGTAGCGATTCTCCCTGAGGGACTCTCTCTGTACCATTTCCCCTCTCTCTCTCTCCAGTTTCCTTCCCTCCCTCCTCTCCCGAAAGTATGATTTAGGCAGGGGCTGATGGCATCTTTACCTCTCCCCTCTTCCTTAGGCACTTGCAAGCATACCCAGTCCACAGGTATTCCATAGTGACTCATTCCTATCCTTGGTAACTTGGAGTCTTGTTCCTTATTCTCCCGTCCTCCGTCTCCTGTCTGAACGTCTGTCCCAGACTCCTGGTTAGAGTTACCTTGTTCTATCTCCTCACATTCTTCCTCAAGGCATTTTGTATTTCTCCGTTCTCTGTCTTATAGTGGTATTCCACCTGTCTCTTCTTTCATCACTCTGTTTTCCTCCTCTTTGCTTTCCTTTTCTTTTACTTTGCCTTCTCCTCTGGCTCCTTCCCTTTTTCCAGTTGGTCCTTTCTCAAGCTTTCCATTGTGCCTGAGCTTTCAGGTCTGTCAGGTGACTTCCATCCCTCTATAGCCATGCCTGTTTCTTGAGGGAACTGGTGGTTTCATAACCCTCTGTCTCTATGGGAAGAGGGGATGGCATGCTGACAGGGGAAGTGGCTTCCCTGTCCTTCTGCTCACACTCTGTTTTCAGATCATCAGGATAGCATGTTCTTTCTGAATATTCTCTAAATTGTCAGTATAATGCCACAGAAAACCGCTCTTTGCTTTCAGTCTTATTGCAACATTTTCTGTGCTGTTTACCTCACGTGAGTGAAACCATTCCTCTAATAATAACACTGGAAACTGTAATTCAGTTGCAGCAAAGACAGAAAAAGTCTCATTTGCAAATCCTAACCTAAGGTGACCTAAGCAAACACACTCTTGAGTTTTCTAGAGACTCTCTTCTAAAATAACTCTCTCAAGACAATCTGTCACTTCACCTCAAGAATGAACAGCTAGTAAAAATACTTATAAGCAGGCTGTGCCTTTCTTTCTCTTTGGAATCATATACAGGCCATGGTCAGACTAGAGAAATGCCCCCCTACTTTCTCACATCTTCTGGTTCCTGTGTAGTTGTGCACTGTGGTCATGCAGCTTATATCCTGTGATAGTGGTTTATACTCTGTGTTTTAAAGGGTAAATTAGATGCTGTACATTCGTCTACACCCCTCAAGCGGGACATATCTTCTTCCTCTTTTTTGCTTTTCTCTGCCCCCTTCACCCTCTTAAAAATGTGTAGGTGCACTGCTGTGTCAACAAAATGCCTTTGCTGGCCACTCAAGGCTCCCTGGAATGTCGCCAAACCAACCAGGAGGAACACTGAAGCTTTTCTTTATGCTTTGTGCTCCTTCGTCCTTCTTTGCTTCCAGTTCTGCTACACATCCCTTACCAATCCTCCTGCTCTGCCACTGCTACCGCCACTGCTTAGGGGAGCAGTGGAAAACGTTTGGGAAGTCCTGCAGTAGGGGGACTGATGTTCCACATGCTTCCTTTCGGGCATTCCTGGAGGATTTGGGGGGAGTGTCCTACTATTATACCTGTGCCCTCTGCTTCCCAGGTAGCAGTCAAATTCCTCTTTCAATTTCCCCATCGGCCCCCTTCTCCCTTTCCCTTTACAACCCTCAAGCCCTATTTCATGGAGGCATACCAACGCACCGTGCCGCCACTGCTTAGGGGAGCAGTGGAAAACATTTGGGAAGTCCTGCAGGAGGGGGACTGATGCTCCACATGCTTCCTTTTGGCTATTCCTGGAGGATTTGGGGGGGTGTCCTACTATTATACCTGTGCCCTCTACTTCCCAGGTAGCCTTCAACTTCCTCTTTCAACTTCCCCATCGGCCCCCTTCTCCCTTTCCCTTTACAACCCTCAAGCCCTATTTCATGGAGGCATACCAACGCACCGTGTGAAACGTTTGGAGACCCCTGGTTTAGAGCTTTAAACAGTGGGTCAAATGGCAATGAAGTACACTGAATGATCAATTCAATCATGAGTCAATTCACAAAATACCAATTATCACCAATTACCTACTAACTGTGAATCTGAATATCTCTGAATATATGAGTCAATTCACAAAATACCAATTATCACCAATTACCTACTAATTGTGAATCTGAATATCTCTGAGCAGGTAGATGCAAGTCTAATTCAAGAAAGTATCAGAAATGGGTTACTCCTCCCATATATTCTGTACTTCTCTATTTGGATTTACCATTATGGACACGCATCTTTTTTAATTCTTCCTAAGGTAAAGGTTCCCTTTGACAATTTTTGTCCAGTCGTGTTCGACTCTAGG